CGCTGCTTTACAAAACAAACAACTTTACAAAATAACTACAAGCAAAAGTTTTAACACATTTGTAATAATTATTTTACCAATGATGCAGCCTGGGGAAATTCCTGAGTTTGCAGTAACTGAAATGCCCAAACAACATTACTGGTCTGCAGAAGGGCTTCTCTAGCGCTTGTGTATCTGCTCCATGAGCGCCGCGAACCTCTTCCTGTGGCTCTATTTAACATCTGATGACGCGATGCACTGTAGTAAACATTCTAAGCTCTTCATATTAATCGTACGCTTCAGGGAACAGCCAATTCTGTCTGATCACATGAGTCTCAGTGTTATAATTCACGTCAAAGAGTTCAAAGTGTGTTCATCTTATTCTTTTATTAATTAGCAATTCTTCTGCATATCACTAGAGGGAAGCCTGTGTACCACAAGTGGTACGCGTACCACAGTTTGAGGACCACTGCAATAAAGCGAAGACAAAAGTGAAATAAGCAGTGCATACGTTGTGATTACTCTTTATTAAACTTTCAATTGGTCAAATGTCTTGTGCCTGAATACTTTAATCTTTCTCAGGCCTTAAAAGATGCAAATTATACAATTTCACTCTATTAAGGTTAAACTCGGCAATAACTCCACAAATCTTGTCTTTTAAACTCTTGACTTATGCTCAAATATAATCCCATATCTATGCAATGTGGCTATTGCAAATGATCACATTGCAATATCGAGGCTGAAACGATATCTAGTGCAGGCCTAATGTAAATGGCTTCAAAACAACATATTTTGTGTTCAACATAAAAAAAAAAAGAAATAAAAAAAGATTTGAGAGGTTGAGTAAATGGTAGGGCTGGACAATAATTCGATATCAATATATATTGCATATAAAAGTTATACTTTGCATATACACTTTGCAGAGATTTGTAGGTACAAACATCTATTGTCTGGCAGTTTTTTTCTGTGCTTTTAATATTGTCCATATCGATATCAGAATTATATTGTATCGACCGAAATTAAGAAATATATTGTGATAGAAATTTTTGCCATATCGTCCAGCCCTAGCAAATGGTATAAGGGTTTTCATTATTGGATGAACTATCCATTTAAAAGTGAAAGTCAAGACAATTTACTTAAATTAATATATATATTTTTTTTCATTTAAATAGTGTTTGTCAGCAAAAAATAAGGACAATTTCATTATATAGATATTTACCATGGATATTCCAAAGAAGACATGAAATTGGAATGACATGATGGCAGTCTATTACATTTTATGTCTAAAGTGACTAAAAAATTCACCAAAGTCTTATAATCAGGCCGACATTATGCACTTATTTCTCTGGCATGAGCATTACATTTAGATCTGCATAATTCAAAATGTGGGCCATTTGTAGGTCAGTTTTCTAAGCCATACTCAAAGGACTGTTGCATAATTTATTCATATGTCACAGAAAACTATGTGGATTATTCATTTAAAAGGCATTTGGGGTGCTTTGTAGGCACAGTTTCTTGCCATTTATTTGGATTCTTACCATTACATATTACAAAACAACTCCAATAATATTAATAGCTGGGTTAGTTCTTTGTGCTTTATTTATCACACATGTGTGTCATGAATGCACAAAAAACTAAACTACCTTGGAAGAATCGAATGTGTCAAGACTGTACATTAATCTACCCTAGCAGCTTCTCAATTGATTGGTCACAATCCAAAATGGGTGACAGATCACTTGATTATAGGAAGGTAAAACAGAATGCTTAATGCAAAATTAAACTGAATCTAAACATTAAAATGTTTTAGTACACTTTTCTTCAGAAGGCCTTGATAGTCAATATACTAATTGTCATTGGTGTACCTTTAAGTAATAGCGCCAAAATGACCATTTTTACCTGAGATTTGGAGCCAAATTACCAAGGAACAAAAATGACCTCAGAAAGATGGCAGCAGCATCAAGTTATTTTTTCACAGACTGGAAGCTCTGTTTGTAAAATCTGCTTTCTTTTGCAACCTTTGCTGCTTTTAACGTCAATCTTGTCAGTAAAAAAAAACAAACAAAAAAAAAAACACTTATTTTCATCACCCTTAAAGTGTGCATGAATCTCAAGTAGAATTAAATATACTGTTTTTACATATTTGTTCTTGAACTACTTTTCTAATTTGACTCCAAATTTTACTCATTCATTTTGATCATAAAACAAAAGAGCCACAAACCAAGCATTAAAGTAAACCTTATTTAATCAGTGTTCAAATAATGTATGAACCTCATTTTTTTTTTAAATTGACTTATGTCTGGTTTTGTGGTCTAGAGTTACCGATACAGAGCCTGAGATGTGTCAGAGAACATTACTATAATCTACTTCAGTGGCTCTCAATTTGTAGATCACAAACCAATCATGAACAGGGAAATCATATTTTTTTGCTGAAGATAAAAGAAAAAAAACATAGCAGTCAGTGGTTACCGACATTCAACATTCTTTAAAATAACTTTTCTAGTGTCCAACAGAAAGAAACTCAAGCTGATTTAAGACAAGTAATGAATTGGCAATTTTCCTTTTTGAGTGTACTTTCCCTTTAATTGCTCTCAATTGGTGAGTTGCAATCCAAAAATGGGTCACAGATCTGTTCTGATTAAGAGATGGGGGAAAGCAATGATAAATACATATATTCCAAAACAACTGAAGTAAGGGGCCTTGACAGCTTCTCAGAAGCTATTGTATGATATCAAAATTTGTATCATTCATTCATTCATTCTCTTTTCAGCTTATTCCCTTTATTATTCAGGGCTCGCCACAGCAGAACGAACCGCCAACTTATCCAGCATTTGTTTTACACAGTGGATGCACTTCCAGCTGCAACCAATCACTGGGAAACACCCATACAAACTCTTTCACACTCTTACACTACGGACAATTTAGCCTACCCAATTCATTACCCAATAAATTGTACTCAGAAATAACAAAGGCTACAATTAAAAAAAAAAGTCTGGCTACATTAAACATAGCTTGATTAGCTGTCAAAACTGTGACATTAATTATTTTCTACTAACACAGATACATAAGACAATTCTGCTTTTTTTGTTTCATAAACAAAGATGCCACTTGACTTTCACATTTAAATGTAAATACCTGAGTCCTGAAGCAAAGCTAGTTATGAAATATGTAGTATGCAAGCTCATATCACTTCTACCCAAACTATTTGAGCAAACTTAATTACTGAATACTGAGTGAAATAACCTCAAATAAGGATTTTTATCTGTACATGTCAGGCACTACTATTATCTTCTTTTCATTTTGTGAATCACAAGCCAAAAATGGGTCACACATTTTTCCTGATCATCATAAAGAGGCAAAACATATCACTTATACAAATATTAGAATCTAACTAAAATGTTTGACAACTTCTAAAAGGGAGCAAAATGCTTCCCGTAAGTTTTGTTTGTAATCTAAATTTGAAGAAAAACATGCCAGAATAATTTGTGCAATCCAGAATTCAAACTAATCCAAAGCAATCCAAGCAATCTAAACTAAAATACAGCAGTCACTATTAGAAGTGGATCAAAAAATGTTTTTTTAAAATTGTCCAAAGACAAGTATGGTTGATGTTCAGTAGATATAGGAAAACTGTAATGAAAGTTTCTGATCCACTTCAAATGTTGACTGCTGTATATTTGAATATAATTTAAGGGGGGAAAAAATGCTTAATTTAGTTAAAAAACGCAGAAATGCCACTTGATTTTTTTAATGACTAAATCAGGCTCCTGAAGCAGAGCTATTCAAGAAACATAAGCATAGCATGAGAGCTCAGGTCACTTCTACCCAAACTATTTAAGCAAACTTGTGCCAAGTAATGGAACTGATTCAAGATTACTGGATTTGGAGTAAAACATCTACAAATAAGAATGTGTACCGCTACGTGTAAAGCAATAATGTAATCTACTTCTCAGTTTGTGAATCACATATTTGTAATAATATTTGTAACATAACTTATTCAAATATTAAAATATAACTAAGAGGCTTGACAACTTGTAAAAGGGAGGTAAAATGCTTCCCATAAGTTTTGTTTGTCATTAAAATGTGAAGAAAATGTACTTGCTTGTAGGAGAAACAATCTGTGCAATTCATAATTTTCTTGAAAACTAAAATATATTTTAAAATGTAAGAATAAAATGCCTAATTTTGTTAAATAAACAGAAATGCCACTTGATTTTTTCAATGACTAAATCAGGCTCCTGAAGCAAAGCTATTGAAGAAACAGAAACATAGTATAAAGGCTCAGGTCACTTCTACTCAAACTATTTGAGCAAACTTGTGCCAAGTAATGCAAGTAATGGAACGGATTCAGGATTACTCAAATAACCATGTTTACCGGAACGTCAAGCAAAACAAAAACTAAAGGACCGTCAAGACATGTTTAGTGGGCGAGCACGAAGCGCCAGCAGAGGATGTGCTTCCCTCTCCTTGCACTTGAATAGACCGCCGAGAATATGCGGGAATATGGAGCATGTCCACCGCATGCAAAATAGACCTGTGGCGAGCTCGGCTTCCACTCACACCGAAACAATTCATTCACGCAGCAGAACATCATCTGACAGGCGTTTGCCTTCATAAACGACTCGGGCGAGCACACAGACAGGCCTGCGAAGCTGTTATGAAATAACTCAACTCCCACATTTTCAATCTGACCCCACAAAAACAAACGCGTCGTTAAAAACGCGGCTTCAACGCACAAACGCGAATCATTCATGATAATAAATAAACAGCGCGAGTCTGGACGAAGATAACAAACACAGGTGATAACAAAACTGCGCAAATGCCCTTCTCGGCGTGTTTATCTATACAAAATCGATCCTGCAAACCTGAAACGATCATATATCGAGCGGGTGTCGAGAGCAGGAGCCCACAAGTGCGTTACTGTAAGCTTTGGCCACTATTACCAGGCCATGTCTGAAAACTTTACGCACTGTCTCTTGAATGCATGCATGGAGAAAATAACACGTTTGATCGCGGTTACTCACCTTCAATGGCTCTGGTGGGATCTACAACCTCCAGTGCAAGAACTAATCCCAGGTAGAGCAATCCAACAGCCAGCATGTTTGCATTGCAAGATGGCATTGCTTATGGAAATCTTAACAATTGTTCACGTAAGGCTGGATTCAAACACCTCATCCAAACCCCACGATTGTCCGCCGTGCTCTGTTGTTTCTTGCGCCCTCCACACGCTAGCAAATGTAGCTGAGCAGACAATATGCACAGTAGAGAATGTGTCATTAAAATACAGATGTAAAAAAAAGAGGCTTCTTCAGCCTAAACAGGCGAGGTGTTGTAAAATGGCACGCTCATGTATATTGCTTACTGAACACCAGCATGCAAACAGGGGTTGGTTAAAACATGCACTAAAAATCAAAGCGGGTTCTTCTGTGATCAAATTATTCCTTTTAGTGAGATCTGGATGCTAAAAGAAGAGCGTTAATTGGCGGTCCTCGCTGCAAATAAACAAAAAAGATATAAATCTATTTTAAAAAAAGTGTCTTCTGTTCGGTGCCCCACCGCTTCTGATCTTCTGATGCTGGTGGTTACAATTTGAGTGAGGGGGAAAGTGGAGCCTCTGCTGGACTGCTGCATGACGTCACCCGCCTCGACAGGAGTCCAAAAAACCGAGTGCTCTACGCGGCACTGTGATTCTGCGCATGCTCCTCTCAGCTTACGGCTGACTATTTGTTTTCCCCTCATTCATTGGAAACTGAACCCGCTAGGGCAGCCATCTTGGCTCTGTCGTAGTAAGTGTGTTCAGTGACTAGCCTTTATTTTATAAAGTAGTTGGTTACAGTTACATAACGGAACAGATCAATTTAAATTGTGTCCCACCCCCTTTTTTTGTAAAGGTGTGTTTTGTTAGTATCAGTATAGCATGATAGATAAAGCTGACGAATGTGAACAAAAATAATTATAAAATGGCATATTAGTTTTATAATCATTAAACATACCAATAATTTAAATAATGATAATTTTCTGTAAAGTGTTTTTAAAGTTATATATAAAATACATTATTATTCTTATTATTATATTACTGCTGTTTTTTTTAAGTATTCTCAATATTATTGTCGGGATGTATTATTCCCAGCTTTTGAAATAGGTTATGTGGCTGGGCCTGTCCATACTGTGTTTTTAATGCAAATAAATCAAAGAAAACATGGTTATTCTAGTTAAATCAGAGTAACCGCACATGTTTGTGTTTTGCGTCCACAACCATAGTTTAATCGTTGTATTTGAAGTACATTTGTGATTATATATTCTGTAACCAATTCCTGTAATCAGTTCGCCAAAAACGTGTTACTAGCTATCAGTTTACTATAATAACGCATTCTTAATTTTAGCAAGTCAACTTGCAATAATTGTCTATATGTACATTATATAATATATAGTTTTTGATCACTGTTTTTGGATGTTGCTAATAGCATACTAAATTAAATCGATATGGTTAGGGATTTCTTTGTTCATCTTCAGGTACCGTTTCTTTTGTCTCTTCTCTTGCACAAATGGAATAGCTCTATCTAGTGGTTAAAAATGTTAATGCAAAACTTCATAAACAATTTACTAATTCTCGAGACAAAAAAAATGACAAATAATAATTCATCGTTGTTTGCGGTCTTAAATCAACATTTGTTTTAATCCAGGAGGAAGCATATTGGAGTTCACAGTACAGAGTGCAGATACATAAACCTCTGCACAACCTGGAATGATCTGAAGGAAAATCCAGGAAAGACTGATGAACATTTGTTGAACACAGTGCAGATAATACATCTCTTCGGTACCATTTATTCATTCATTCATTTTTTTGGCTTAGTCCCTTTATTAATCTGGGGTCACCACAGCGGAATGAACCGCCAACTTATCCAGCATTTGCAGTGGATGCCTTTCCATAGCCTACACTCTCATTTACACACATTCATTCATTAATTCATTCATTCATTTTCTTGTCGGCTTAGTCCCTTTAGTCATCCGGGGTCGCCACAGCGGAACGAACCACCAACTTATCCAGCTCATTTTTATGCAGCGGATGCCCTTCCAGCCGCAACCCATCTCTGGGAAACATCCACATGCACATTCACACACACACTCATACACTATGGACAATTTAGCCCACCCAATTCACCTGTACTGCATGTCTTTGGACTGTCTGGGAACCCAGAGCATTAGGAGGAAACCCACGCCAACGCATGGAGAATATGCAAACTCCACACAGAAATGCCAACTTACCCAGCCAAGGCTCGAACCAGCAACCTTCTTGCTGTGAGGCAACAGCACTACCTACTGCACCACGGTGTTGTCAGTACCATTGTGTATGTGATTATATTCTTAAAGATGTCTATTATTTTATATACTTAGTGACTTAGGTCAGGGGTTCCCAAACCTTTCAGCCCGCCACCCCCAAAATCAGAATGCCAGTGACTCGTGACCCCCAATATTCTCTGAGGTGGTGGTTATAAATACAGAAACCTTGTATGCAATGACGCACACACACCAATAGGCCCAAGTCTATTCTTTGTTTTTTTTTATGTATGTCAGTGCTGTAAATGGGCTAGAAAGTTTAACCTGGTGTTACAAAATCTGCTGCATCTGACAGTAATGCTGTGTCTTTAGTATAATGTAATTACCCGAGAAGTCGCAATCCAATAGAACTAGTAACTATAAGCTACTATAGTAACTATATAGTTTATAGTAAGTATAAACGACTATTTTTTCTCATCAGTAGGTTATTGATAAAATACATTAAGTCTTAAGGTTTAATAAAAATTAATTGATTTTTGAAAATCACCAGGCGACCCCCCTTCATTGTCCCTCGACCCCTCGGGGGGTCCCGACCCCCACTTTGAAAACCTCTGACTTAGGTGACAAAAAGTGGCTCAGCGGTTAGCACTGTCGCCTCACAGCAAGAAGCTGGTTTGAGTCCCGGTTGGGTCAGTTGGCATTTCTGTATGCAGTTTGTACGTTCTCATCGTGTTCGCGTGGGTTTTCTCCAGGTGCTCCCGTTTCCCCCACAGTCCAAAGACATGTGGTACAGGTAAATTGGGTAAGCTAAATTGTCCTTAGTGAATGAGTGTGAATGATTGTGTATGGATGTTTCCTAAAGATGGCTTGCAGCTTGAAGGGCATCCGCTGCGTAAAACATGTGCTGGATAAGTTGGTGGTTCATTCCGCTGTGGCGACCCCGGATTAAAAAGGGACTAAGCCAAAAAAAAAATAAATGAATGATTTTGATAAAATCCTGTTACAAAAATGTATGGATCATGGATCTGTCCATATGGGTTTAAACCAAACTTATTACATTTATAACACCACATTAAAGGGTTCACCCAAAAATGAACATTTCCTCACCATATTTACTCACACTCAAGTGGTTTTAAACAAGTGGTATGCATTTATTTTTTCTGTTGAACGCTAAAGAAGATATTTAGAAAAACGTGGAGCCACTGACATCCAAAGAAGGAACAAAAATACATTAAATAGCAATGGCTGCATTCGTCAAAATATCTTCTTTTGTGTTTTACAGAAAAAAGAAGCTTACACATGTTTGTAACAAGTAAGAAGTGAGTAAATAATGACATATATTTCCGTTTTGGGTGAACTATGCTTTTGATCTACAAACAGTTGCATATTATTACACTTGGAAATGGCTGTGTATGTAAATAGGAGATACAAAGTGTGCATTAATATGTGTGTGTATGTATGCAAATATTTAAACTAATAAATTATATATTTATATAATTAGACATTTTATTAAAATTATTAAACTTAAACTTATTAAACAGATAGATAAATAAATAAATGATTGAATGATTTATTATATTTAATCCAATAAAACTTTCATTAAGAGCGTCCCTTCCCTCCTATCTTTCAAAAAAAAATTCAGCTTTATTTTCTCATGTTACTCACAAGTTAGTGTTGTTATTATATAAAATAAAAACGATTTAAAAACAATTTATAAAGCTGATCTCTGATCAAATGTAAATTAAATTGAAATATAAAAATGTGAAAAAGAATAAATTGTTGTTATTATTATTATTATTATTATTATTATTATTATTATTATTATTATTATTATTATTATTATACTGGTCACAATAGGCAAACACAAGAGTATCAGTACATTACATGTTCAGTTAAAGTAAAAATAAATGTTGGATTTATTCTGTCAGTGTGCTGTCCTCTGGGTGGCGCTAAACACCAGCCTAAAAACTTTTCTCTACAGCGTCCTCAAGCAAGTTCGCCTTTTCTCCCAGTCGGTGCGTTTTAATCCACCCCTCTCTCTTTCAAATACATTACACTGTTAGTACATTAAACAAAACACCACACAGTTCTTGAAGATTTTACAGCTTCCACCCAAGCGAAGTCCAAGCCCCGGTAAGTGTGTCCACTAGTTATAAAGTTCACATCTACAGCATAGACTGTAAAAGATAGACCCACAGCCAAGAAAGTATGAGGCATCTAATACCGCCTGGACTTATTTTAAAATGATCTAATAGATCAGATGAGTCAGCGTTTAATGAACATTCCATTAACATTTGATAGCTAGTCTAGAACAGAATTTGCGAGACCCCGAAGGCAAAAAATACATTCTTTTCCCATGCAATGTTAATATTTTGGGAGTTGGGGCTTTTGGCGTGTTGGCTTTGCTTTGGTATGGAAAAATAGCAAATGACCCTTTTTTCCACAATAGATAAAAAAAAAAAAAAAGCGATAAGTGTGATTAAAATAACATATCAGAGGTGATAAATAAATACTGTAAATAAAATGTGTGGTCCCTTTTCAGGCAATCTGTAAACAGATCGAATACTTTGGAAAGATGACGTTTGGAATTTCGATGTGGGCCTAATATATGCACGGGAACTTATTTCGAAGATTTTCTCTTTAATAAATGTTGGGGTGAGAAATACATTCTGAAATAGCATATAATTTACTATGTACTGTTTTTATAACAAATTTTAAATTAATACATATCTTATTTTTTATTTATGTAGCTGTTTTGAGCGATAAATGTCCAAAACCAATTTTATAGTTTTATTTATGTCCTGAAGATTTTACAGAAACATCCGTTCATACATAATTTGTCTGATTATACAACATTATTTATATATATATATATATATACACCCCGTTTTGAAAATTAATATTTTTACCTATATTTCTCATTGAATATGGGTAATATATATTGGTGCATTTGAACAAAACAGATTTGTTAAACATATTTATTTATTTAAATAATATTTTAGTCATAGAACATCTTTAGAAATGGAAAGAAAACACATTTAAATTCATGCAAAATTTTGCAAGAAAAATGTTATATATTTTTAGTTTCTCTAGATTTTTAACTATTTTTTGAAAATTTTATTTATTTTTCTATAACATAAATTTGGGCTACTAATTTTTGAACCATTATTGCAAGTTATTTTGTTAGATTAGCTCCATATTTGGCTTCAGTACTGACTATATGCACAAATATAATATTGTAAAGCATCCTGTAGGAGGGCAAAGCTGTGGCGCAGTAGGTAGTGCTGCCGCCTCACAGCAAGAAGGTTGCTGGGTCGCTGGTTCGAGCCTTGGCTCAGTTGGTGTTTCTGTGTGGAGTTTGCATGTTC